CCTGTGGGGAAGGAGGGGGTGTATCTTACTTGCACTGTGTTTCTATGGACTCACACAGCACAGCTCGAGAGCACACCCACATAGATGCCTATAACATACAGCTTGCTAAGTGGGTGCCGGGAGCAAGGAGATGTGGACAGTCCTGGAGGGGGGACTTTCAGAAGAGTCATTAAGGGTTTGCAGGTAAAGCAAGTAAAGACCACCTCTTTTTTATTTTAATAAAAAATATATATTACCGTATTTTTCGCTCCATAAGACGCACTTTTTCCCCCCAAAAAAGGGGGGGAAATGTCTGTGCGTCTTATGGAGCGAATATAAAGAGGCCGGTCCGGTATTTCTGCCGCCACCATGTCAGAATACCGGGCTGGCTGCCCAGCTGTTCTCTCCTGCAGGGCCTTACCTGTTCCTCGCTCCAGCGCTGTACAGTCTTCCCGCGCTGGCTTCTGTGACAGCCAGGTGCCCACTGCGCATGCGCTTCGCTTTGTGAATGGTCCGGTGTTTTCTGGGACACATGACAGGTCCCAGAAGGCACCGGGCCATTCACAAAGCGCAGCGCTTCTCGCGCATGCGCAGTGGGCACCCGGCTGTCACAGAAGCCGGCGCGGGAAGAAGAGGGAAAGACAACTCTACGGAAGTGGTAGCGGGTACCTGTGAAATTCAGGTACCCGCTCCCCCTCCCTCCCAAAAGGTCAGCAGTCTCTGGTCATCCCCTGCACTGTCTGCAGTCTCTGGTCATCCCCTGCACTGTCTGCAGTCTCTGGTCATCTGTACTGTGTCCCTGGTATTTTCCCTGTACTGTGTCCGCAGTCTCTGGTCATCTCCTGTACTCTGTCCGCAGTCTCTGGTCATCTCCTGTACTCTGTCCGCAGTCTCTGGTCAGCTCCTGTACTATGTCCACAGTCTCTGGTCATCTCCTGTACTTTGTCCGCAGTCTCTGGTCATCTCCTGTACTCTGTCCGCAGTCTCTGGTCATCTCCTGTACTCTGTCCGCAGTCTCTGGTCAGTTCCTGTACTATGTCCGCAGTCTCTGGTCATCTCCTGTACTGTGTCCGCAGTCTCTGGTCATCTCCTGTACTTTGTCCGCAGTCTCTGGTCATCTCCTGTACTATGTCCGCAGTCTCTGGTCATCTCCTGTACTATGTCCGCAGTCTCTGGTCAGCTCCTGTACTCTGTCCGCAGTCTCTGGTCAGCTCCTGTACTGTGTCCGCAGTCTCTGGTCAGCTCCTGTACTGTGTCCGCAGTCTCTGGTCAGCTCCTGTACTGTGTCCGCAGTCTCTGGTCAGCTCCTGTACTGTGTCCGCAGTCTCTGGTCAGCTCCTGTACTGTGTCCGCAGTCTCTGGTCATCTCCTGTACTGTGTCCGCAGTCTCTGGTCATCTCCTGTACTGTGTCCGCAGTCTCTGGTCATCTCCTGTACTGTGTCCGCAGTCTCTGGTCAGCTCCTGTACTGTGTCTGCAGTCTCTGGTCAGCTCCTGTACTGTGTCTGCAGTCTCTGCTCATCTCCTGTGGTATGTCCGCAGTCTCTGGTCATCTCCTGTACTATGTCCGCAGTCTCTGGTCATCTCCTGTACTATGTCCGCAGTCTCTGGTCATCTCCTGTACTATGTCCGCAGTCTCTGGTCATCTCCTGTACTATGTCCGCAGTCTCTGGTCATCTCCTGTACTGTGTCCGCAGTCTCTGGTCATCTCCTGTACTGTGTCCGCAGTCTCTGGTCATCCCCTGTACTGTCTCTGCAGTCTGGTCATCCCCTGTACTGTCTCTGCAGTCTGGTCATCCCCTGTACTGTCTCTGCAGTCTGGTCATCTCCTGTACTATGTCTGCAGTCCATTGGTTCAGAATATTTTTTTTTCTTGTTGTTTTTCTCCTCTAAAACCTAGGTGCGTCTTATGGAGCGAAAAATACGGTATTACCCTTTCTGCTCACTTTACAGCACTCGGGTATAGGAGTTTAGGCAGTTTGTAGGAGATGGGGAGCGTGTGCATACACAGGAACAGAAGGCTCCCATAGATTTTTGTGTTACTGTCTGCATCCCTGTAGGAGAGATCTCCCCCAACTTCATGCCCAGGTGATCACCTCTGACCAGGACAGGGAGTGAGGGGAAGTCTTCTGTTGGGGACACAACCGTAGTAAATTGGTGGCCGAGGTTATAATATAATAAATTAAACAAAGAGTCTCCCTCTTTAGAGTTAAAGGATAAGTTCACCTTTAACCACTTCCTATCCGGACACTTTTACCCCCTTCCTGACCAGGGCAATTTTCAGCTTTCAGCGCTATCACATTTTGAATGACAATTGCGCGGTCATGCAACACTGTACCCATATTAATTTTTTACCATTTTTTTTGAGACAGATAAAGCTTTATTTTGGTGGTATTTATTCACCACTGGGATTTTTATTATTTTTGCTATGTAAATGAAAAAGTCGAAAAATTTTGAAAAAAAGCGTTTTCTTATAAAAATTTTGCAAATAATATTTCATCATAAATCTTGGCCAAAATGTATTCTGTTATCTTTTTAGTAAAAAAAAAAATAAGCCAAATTAGTTTATAACCAAAAATTATGATTTTTAAACATTTTTTTTACAATTTTATTTTTTTTATATTATTATGTTGTTGTTTTTTTTACATACTGTCACTCTAGCAGTACAATGTCACCATGGTGACACTGTACTACTTGTAGGGGGTGATGAAGATTTTTTTTTCTTTTTTTACAGTGATTGCTTTTACACCCATTACACCCGAATTGCGATGCTGCACGCTCCCAGGGAGCAAATGTGGTTAATATTTTTTTTTGGAGTCTGGAAAGCATTGCACCAGCGATCAGCAAATCACTGATGAAATACAGATCCCCTGTAGACTGTCAGTGTAATCTGTCTGCCTGTACATCATAGGCAGTTTCATACGGACAGGAACGATCAATGAACTACCAGAGCTCTCAACAGGGCTGTGGAGAGATCCGCAAAGAACGATGGTACTTGTAGTTGATTCATTCACAGAACCCTGAATGAATGATGTGACCGTGTGGGTGTAGCCCGGCACAGCCGCGCTCTTTTTAAAAGGTGACATCTAGTTCAGGGATCTTCTGCCCTTACTGCTGTCACACAGAGAGCTCAGATGACCGAGCCGCTGCAGGAGCGGGAACATGTTCCACCCTAAAAATGGGGTTCCCAAAGATGAACTTATCCTTTAAGGTTCTTTCCAATAACGAATGCTTTGGTTCTTGCAATACATATTTCAAGGTGTCTATTTTTTGTGTAATTCCAGAAATTCAGCTTTAAGAGGAGTACTGAGGAAGGGTGCTGTGCTGTGATGTTTTCAAGAAGAGCCACGATCTGCCTGCATTGCATAGACAATCACAGAAACCCAGTAACTTATTTTGTTTTGTTTTTGTTTGTTTTTTTAGCATATTGATGACGGGAAAGGGAGGAACCTAGGAATTAAAATATATGCCAAATAAATTTCAGCTTTGGTATAGTAGAATGTTATGTCAGAATGAATACTGTTGATTAAAACAATTGTTTAATTTCTAACAGACGAGTTTCTTTAGTTGAAATGGGTACAATCAGTAGTATGAGTTTGTATATGAGCAGCATTACGTGCTAACATATGTGGTCACTAATATTTTTTTAATGAATCCCACGTAAGGATTTTCATTTTGAGAAGAATAATACACCCCGACAGAGACAAAGGAAAATTGTGCCGCGCTGCTGTCTTGTTCAGAGAGTAATAATCCATAATGGATACCCAGACACCTAGATAGGTAGACTGAGACACCCACTGCAGAGGCAGAGAGGCATCTACAGCAGCTCAGGTCCCAGGGTCCAACAGTAGGATAGTGGACTTATTCCAGTTCCAGAAAAGGTGGCATACATATTCAAAATAAGGAGGACCGCTTGCAGGGAAGGACCAAACATGTGCTTCTTAAACACACTCCATGCTGCTATACTGGCCAGGAGTGTGTGTACCGTGGTAAAGCCGAGTGTCAGCTTTCACGTGGAAATAATAGATGAAACTAGATCACTTCCACAACCGCTGCAACATGCCAGTCCCCCACCATGTATACCGGGCTCTGCTGTCCCACTTGCTGTGGGTGTTGGTGCATGGGGTGGAGGGAGTGCAACAAACATCCGTTCATTGGTCAGCTTCCCTGTGAATGGACCAGGAAGTATGTATGTATGATGTCACTTCCTGGTCCAGCTCTGTTCCTTTCCAGGGTCACTGCCTAGGAAAGCAGCTGATCGAACATGATCTGTGTTCCATCATTTGCAGTGGAGTACAGGGGAGACATCCAGGGACTAATAGACCCTGAATGTCTCCATAAAGAGCACCTGTCACCTATTTTCTATACATAGGGGCTATTGATCCTCTGTGATGGCAATAAAATTGTGTAAAAGATTTCCATAAATTGCAGGGAGGATTCAAAGAAGGCAAATAATAGGTAGATTAAACTGCAGCTTTAAGGTTGTTAAATTGTGTGCACCCATGAAACGGCGAAAAACTTCAGTCCCATATATTTTCCATAGGCAATGCTTTAACCACTTGCATACAGGGCACTTATACTCCCTTTCTGCCCAGACCAATTTTCAGCTTTCAGCGCTGTCACACTTTGAATGACAATTGCGCGGTCATGCAACACTACCCATATGAAATTTTTATCGTTTTTTTTTAGACAGATAGAGATTTCTTTTGGTAGTATTTAATCACCTCTGGGTTTTTTGTTTGCTAAACAAACCAAAAACAACTGAATATTTTGAACAAAAATTTTTTTTTCTTAGTTTTTGTTATAAAATTTTGTAAATAAGTGATTTTTCTCCTTCACTGATGTGCTGTAATGAGGCTGCAGTGATGGGCACTGATAGGTGGCACTGAGGAGGCATTGGTAGGTGGCACTGATGGGCACTGAAAGGCAGCACTCATATATGGCACTGTTAGGCGGCACTGACTGGAACTGATTGGCAGCACTGATAGGTGGCACTGCCTGGCACTGATAGGTGGCACGGAAAGGCAGATCAGATGGGCACTGATATGTGGCATTGATGTGGCACTGATGGGTACTGGCAGGTGACATTGATGAGCACTGACAGCTGGCATTGATGGACACTGACAGGTGGCACTGCTGGGGCTACACTGATCATCAGGGCACACTGATCATTAGTGCCCTGATGATCAGTGTACATGTCCCCGATTACCGGCTCTCCTCTTCTCTCAAGCTGTCAGCATGACAGCTTGTGTGGAGAGAAATGCCGATAACCCGCATTTCCTTATTTACATGCAATCAGCTGTGATTGGACACAGCTGATCACATGACCGAGCCGTCGTCTGCCGATCGCCGCGCTGCGTGCCCCTGTGCGATTAGAGTGGGAGGACATCATATGACGTCTTTCCAAAATGAGAGAACCGCCTTGCGCCCGTCATTTCCTTATATGGCGGGCGGGAGGCAGTTAAAAGCCTCTGCAGATCAACAGTTTGGAGTTAGGCCTCTTGCACACAGGAAGTAAAAATCTGAGGTTTTACAGGTGTTTGACTTTTTTTCAGCCTCTAAATGCACCTCTGTTAGTCTGTGTCTGAGCGCACGTAGGTGTTTACAGGCGTATTAGAAGAGATGCATTTAGAGGCAGAAAAGGAAATTAATTGTGCATTTAGGAGAGCAAACACTAGGTGCATTTTAGCGCTTGAGCGTTCATTCAATCCAATGGCCAGAATAAATTAATATTCTGGCCAAAATAATGAATGAATGCCGAAACACTTGATTTTCCTTAGAGCGGAGTTCCCACCCAAAAGGAGAAGTTCCGCTTTAACTGCCTCCCCCACCATATAAGGAAATGACGGGCACAAAGCGGTTCTCTCATTCTGGGAGGATGTCATATGACGTCCCCCTACCATAACCACACGTACGTGGCTCCGGGAGTGCGCAGCGTGGCGATCAGTGGTGAGATCTGTCAGACACAGCGGATCACTGATCAACGGAAAGAGCCGAAGATGTCTGCTTGGTCATGTGATCAGCTGTGTCCAATCACAGCTGATTGCATGTAAATAGGGAAATGCCGATTATCCGCATTTCTCTCCTCACGAGCTGTCACGCTGACAGCTCGAGAGAGAGCCGGTAATCGGCATTCCCCAGAGGGGGCATGTACACTGATCATCAGGGCACTGGCACTGATGATCAGTGTAGCCCCAGCAGTGCCACTTCTGTATCCAGCAATGCCAGCTGTCAGTGCTCATCAATGCCACCTGCCAGTGTCCATCAGTGGCTCAGTGCCTACCAGTTCACATCAATGCCACATATCAGTGCCCATCTGAGCTGCCTTTCAGTGCCACCTATCAGTGTTAACAGTCAGTGTCGCCTATCACTGCCAGTCAGTGCCACCTATCGCTGCCTGTCAATGCCGTCTATCAGTGCCTTATATGAGTGCCGCCTTTCAGTGCCCATCAGTGATGCCTGTCAATGCCACCTACCAGTGCCTCCTCATCAGTGCCCATCAGTGCAGCCTATCAGTGCCCATCACTGCAGCCTCATTAGTGCTCATCTGTGAAGGAGAAAAATCACTTATTTACAAAATTTTAAAACAAAAACTAAGAAAAAAGTTTTTTTTTTTTCAAAAATTTCAGTTTTTTGGTTTGTTTAGCAAAAAATAAAAAACATAGAGGTGATTAAATACCACCAAAAAAAAGCTCTATCTGTCTAAAGAAAATGATAAAAATTTCATGTGAGTACAGTGTTGCTTGACCTCACAATTGTCATTCAAAGTGCAACAGAGCTGAAAATTGGCCTGGGCAGGAAAGGGCATAAGTGCCGGTAGGCAATTGGTTAAAGATTGGTCCCCTGCTCCCCATTAAGGATTGGCACCTTTGGGGAGCGGGAGGGGGAACGGGTACCCGAATTTGACAGGTACCCGCTCCCACTTCTGCTGCGATCACCTAGGCGATTGGAAGTCATCCTTCTACCCTCCCTCCCCGAAGTCTTGTGGGACACGTGGCAGGTCCCAGAAGGCGACGAGGCATTCTGGAAGCGCAGCGCTACTCGCGCATGCGCAGTGGGCACCCGGCTGTGAAGCTGCAAGCTGTCACAGCCAGTTGCCCACGCTGAAGATGCCGGCGCCTGGAATACAGGATAGCCGGTGAAACGGGCTGCGGCGGGGGCAACGCAGGATCGTGGGACAGGTAAGTGGCTGTTCTTTAAAAGTCAGCAGCTACAGTTTTTTTTTTTTTTTACAGAGTGAGTGGAACTCTGCTTTAACTCGCTTAAACTTTGAAAGAAACTCACATTCAGAGGAGCTGGACATGCATGAGGCCTTAATTGTGAGCTCTGGTGCTAAAATTATTGTTCCCATTCCGCATTCGCGGAGAGGCGCGAGCATAAATCCGACAGGGCGTTTGTACAGACGTTAAACAGTGGATCGACTTCTGTACAACCATCCTGCCCAAACACGAATTGAAATTTGGCTGGGTCCTAAAAAAGAAACCTTTTTTAAAGTGTTTATATATTTACTTTTTGACCTTGTTTTCATGCTCTCAACCTGCCCCCCCAACTCTGTTATCACCTAGGTAGGAATGGCATGTAAGCCTCCTCCTGGGATACAAGGCATTACTTCCACCATTCATAAAATCCAATGGTATCTCGTACAATGGAAAAGTAAACTGACATAGCATCAAATCTCTGCACATGTGTGAGATCTGGCGCAATGTCATCTGCCCAGGGATGGGACAACAGGGGGTAGAAGGAGCTTGTGCTCCGGGCATATTACAATATGTTTTGATATTGTGGGTCTAGGCATCCCTCTCTCTTTTCCTCCTTCACCTTTCTTTCCCCTATAAATTATTTTACACTTTTTGCTGCCTGTAACATTACCGTTTTGGTGATGGGTCAGTGATGGTCTGGGGAGGCATATCCATGGAGGGACATACAGACCTCTACAAGCTAGACAACGGCACCCTGACTGCCATTATGTATCGGAATGAAATCCTTGAACCCATTGTCAGACCCTAAGCTGGTGCAGTGGGTCCTGGGTTCCTCCTGGTGCATGACAATGCCCGGCCTCATGTGGGGAGAGTATGCAGGTAGTTCCTGGAGGATGAAGGAATTGATACCATTGAATGGTCCCCACGCTCGCCTGACCTAAATCGAATAGAACACCTCTGGGATATCATGTTTTGGTCCATCCGCCGCTGCCAGGTTGCACCTCAGACTGTCCAGGAGCTCAGTGATGTCCCGGTCCAGATCTGGGAGGAAATACCCCAGGACACCATCCGTTGTCTCATTAGGAGCATGTCCTGACGTTGTCAGGCATACATACACGCACGTGGGGGCCATACAAACTACTGAGTACCATTTTGTGAGTTGCTGCAATGAAATTTCAACAAAATTGACTAGCCTGCTGCATAATTTTTTCACTTTGATTTTCGAGGTGTCTTTGAATTCAGTCGTCTGTAGGTTGGTAATTTTTCCTTTCCATCAAATGATGGGGCATCTTTATGTTCTTAACACATTACCCAGTCCATATCAGTATAGATATCCAGCTTGAGATTTTTTCCCCGTTGAGATCTGATGTGATTTCAAAGTGTTCCTTTAATTTTTTTGAGGTGTGTGTGTTATAAGGTTGAAATTTTAATTTAGCAAGGGCAAGCAGAGTTCACTGAAATCACAACAGTGTTTCCCAATATTATTATGTTATCTACAACCAAGTTAGACCAAGTACACACCTGTTGTGTGTTAATTTATCTTCGTAACATATACATTTGCACATGTTTTGTTCATATATTTTAAATGTTAATGCTCCTTTGTTAAGCCTTTACAGCAGTGGTTCTCAACCTTTCTAATGCCGCGACCCCCTTAATACAGTTCCTCATGTTGTGGTGACCCCCAACCTATAAAATTATTTTCGTTGCTACAATTCATAACATCTGTAATTTTGCATTGTGGGAGGACTAGCGCCCCATCACTGATGTCAGTGTGGATGAATAGTGTCCCATTGTGGGTATCAGTGGGAGGAATAGTGTCCCATCATTGGTGTCAGTGGGAGAAGTATCCCTTGGAGTGCCCCATCATTGGTGTCAAATCAGGAATAGTGTCCCATCATTGGTGTCAGTGGAGGAATAGTGTCCCATCATTGGTAGTCAGTGGGAGGAATAGTGCCCCATCATTGGTGTCAGTGGGAGGAATAGTGCTCCATCATTGGTACACAGTGGGAGGAATAGTGCCCCATCATTAGTGTCAGTGGGAGGAACATAGTGCCCCATCATTGGTGTCAGTGGGAGGAATAGTGCCCCATCAATGGTGTCAGTGGGAGGAATAATGCCCCATCAATGGTATCAGTGGGAGAATAGTGCCCCATCATTGGAAGTGTCAGTGGGAAGAATAGTGCCCCGATCATTGGCGTCAGTGGGAGGAATAGTGCCCCGTCAGTGTCAGTGGGAGGAATATGTCCCATTGTGTGTCAGTGGAGAAATAGTGCCCCATAGTGGGTGTCAGTGGGAGGAATTCTTGGAGTGCCCCATCGTTGGTGTCAGTGGGGGAAAGTGCCCAGATTTAAAAACATAAAAAAATCGTTGGTGTCAAATGGGGGGAGGAATAGTTTTATCATGGTGTCAGTGGGGGGAACCAATAGTGCCCCATCGTTGCCATGTCAGTGGGGGGAGGAATAGTGCCCCATCGTTACAGTATTAGTGACACAAATGACACTGGTACACTATCCCTCCCACTGACACCAATGATACTTACCTTGCTGACTCCTGCTCCAGCTGGCTCGCTCTCTCCCTCTCCCATCTACAGCCTGCATACCTGGCTGCAAAGCAGCAAAATTTGCACTTACCTGTCAAGCTGTCTTCCTTCTCTCCTATCTCTTTCACTCGTTCCTGCAGGGGCTCCCTCGATCTGTCTTCGATCTCGGCTCCTCCTCTCCAAGCTCCACCTTCTCGCCGTGAGATGGCCGCCTGGAGTGCCTCTCCTGAGCTACAGTTCCGGTGGCCAATCAGCAGCGAGGATTTCGGTGATTAGGGGCAGCATATCATCCCGCCCACACATCGCCGGAGACAGGATTTTCAGCGGCGTCTCGGTTCCTAAGACCATATGAAATATGTGTTTTCCGATGGTCAACTTAGGCGACCCCTGGGAAATGGTCGTTATAAATAACCCCAAAAGGGGTCGCGACCCCCAGGTTGAGAACCGCTGCTTTACAGTAATCAGATACAATAATCCTGCTCCAGTTTTTGTGTGAATGTTAGCATTTAACAAAAATTAGTTTTAATCACTATACTAGCGTATCACGGTTCTCTCTTCTGCCTACAATGTCTTGAGAGGTTT